TAGTCATCGATACATGCTGGGATGAAATCCTATCCATCCGAGGCAACACAGCTGTCAGCAGTGTTTGCCTTTCGTCATGGGCAGTTGTTTTCTTCAGCTCTCGTCAACATGCTGGCCAGTCGCTGAGGAATGCCGGCCGAGCCACCGGCTTGCAGTCTCTCGGAGCAAGATTGGAGCAATGAGAAGCATTAGAGTCTCTTCAATGTCGACAGGCATGGCTGCACGGTTCTGGACCTGGCAACAGATGGAAGTGGAAGAGTGAGGGTGGTACAGTAGGGAGGGTAGAGTGCAAAGAGCTGTGCCACTCGGCTCCTGGCGGCCAAAGCCTCGCCGCCGCCCGGAGGAAGACCAGAGCAGTCTCTTTTTCTTTGCTCTGGAGAAAGTAGCGCGCGCCAACATCTAGCCCAGCATCTCGCGCTTCACGTCGCTTCTCTTCAAGTTCCTCAGCAGGTCGCCCGCGTTCTGCGCGGTCAAGTTGCGACCGATCCCGAAGAAGCCGATGCAAGGCACAGAAAGGAGTTGCTCCTGTCTAGTAGTAGGAGAGCAGACCAGACCCGGAAGGCTGGATGATTCGCTGCAAGAGCTGCTCAAGGAGATGGCGGCAGAGGTGTCAGACTCGGCACCTGATTTTGCATGGCTCTGTTGCTTTGCGCTCAGGGGGAGCCCGAGGGGCAAGTCCCAGCCTTGCTGAAGTCCGAGCCAGTGCAGGCCGGACCGAGCTGTCGAAGTACCAGTCTCGCTCTGCCAGCTTTCTGGCCAATCGAGGCGATCCTTGAGGTCATGATCCAGCTGCTGGATGCAAATGCAGGCGCCGCCCAGGCGCGGTCTTACGGCTTGTGCAGATGTTTCAGTCGGGTAGATCATGCGACAGATGGTGCTTTTTCGCTCAGGTGACGCATCTCAGCTTGGCACGCTTCCTGAGGGCAACTTTGAATTCCGGCGATTTGTTTTCAGCCAAGTAGAGCTGGATTATGTAGATACATAGCACATAGCACATTAACCTGTACTCTTGCCAGCTCGAATTCGACAGGAACGAGCTCGTGTCAGCGAACGCTGCTCAGCCGTTCCTGTGCAGCGACCAAGGTTCCATGGTGACTTCCGTTTTGTCACAGCATCGAATCTAAATCTGTGCAGTACAACATCGGACGAGCCTTTGTCGCGTTTCACAGTGGCTTGAAGCTGCAAAATATGCAGAAGCCACTCTGCATGCTAAAAACAAGTGAGTTTTGATCGAGTCTGCTCCGTTCCACCCTCAACCCTCAGACCAGGGCTGGTCCAATAGATGTGGTGTGCGTCTAGGCTCAAGGAGAAGCCAGGTCACGATTCCTGCGAACAACACTGAGCCTCCACACCTGCATGCATGTTTCTACCGTCTGAAAATCGCTTGCAGGCATCAGCATGTAGAGTCAGCTCTGCGAGCCATACTCAGCCGAGATAAATGGCCGCGGAGGTCCCTGATGGCATTCTGCATGAGCTGTCCCTTCCTTCGTTTCTGCGAGGATGGTGAGACGGAGCTGAATGAGGCTGACAAGGTACAGCAGTCCATCTCCGTGAAGGCTCTTTGCTGTCGCCTCTGAAGAAGCGTTGGTTTCCACAGCGCGGTGTCAAAGCGAAGTGGAGCGCTGAGAAGCGAGGAGCGAGGTGCGGAGCTCTACAAGCCATGGACCAAGTCAAAGCAGTCCTGAGTCTGCATCTGCTAATCTTCTCCTTGCTTTTGTCCGTCTCCGTCTCCGTCTCCGTCTCCGTCTCCGTCTCCGTCTCCGTCTCCGTCTCTCTCTCTCTCTCTCTCTCTCTCTCTCTTCGCAAGAGAAGCAAATTGGGATGTCCGTGACTACGAACTCCCGTGGAGAGGAAGTTTGCTGAGGCAGCAGAAGTTTCAGGAAGCACGAGAAGCCTGGGAGGAGGTCGGCCAGCCAACATCCCCGCACGTACAAGGACTGCTGTTGACAACAAGTGCAACTCTCCTCAGTCAGGATTCTTGTGTCATGGTGTCATGACACCCAGCAGAGCGAAATGCATCCTCAGAGATAAACGTGCATGCAGCAACTCGAATACCACTCGACAATATACGTTGAAGTGCGCGACTGATGATGTGTCTCTCTCTCTCTCTCTCTCTCTGTTTCTTTGCCGAGCTTTTGCATGCATCGCTCCTTGTAGCTGGCTGCAGCGCTGCAGATTTCCGGCCTGGGGTCTCTATGTAGTGCCGAGCAGTATCAAGCATGAAGTGAGTTTCAGCTGTGTAGATGCAGTGTCCTTGGGCGATGCACTGAGCGCTGCGCCCTGGGGCCATGGTGGCTGAGGCCCAGCTCTCTGAGCGCTACTAGTAGGCAGAGCTTCGGCCCCAGATTTCCGAAGGTGACGGTTCTGAAGGACCTGCAGGGTGCCCTGGAGCAGCAGCGCATGAGCTTGGAGGCTTTGCACCGCAGGCCGTTGTGCCCTCTTTGGCTTTATCACGCTTGCTTGTGTTGCTTTCTACGACATGTTACTCGCGAGCGCCGCAGCAGGCAGTCTGAGCTCAGCGAGGTCCAGGGTTTCGGGAGGGGACCAGGGCGCGGTAAGCTTCTTCGGGACTGTGTGATGGCAACTGTGAAGGAGAATGCTGCGCTTCGCGAATGCCCTGCCTCTCAGCCTTTCGTGATGAATGTGCTAAAGCTGGAAACCAGAAGCTGCAGAGCATACGGAATACGATCTCAGCGCGGCACGGTGGCTCGAATGGAAATTACATCCCCGTGATCTGCGAGGCCTCGAGTCACTCGGCATCCTCTGCGGACAGGTCCAGCGGGTGGCGGTGGCGGCACACTGGAGCAGATCGTCCGTCCTTGGTGGAAGGCATTCCTGAGCCGCTTGCACCGGCGACGCTTAGAGCGAGTCCTGAGCCGGCTTGGAACCTCAGCGTGAGCTGATGTGTGCGTTGTGTCAGACCGCTTCCTGGGCCTAAGGCACCCGATGTCGCAGACGCAGGCGACACTCGAGGTGGGACTAGGAAGGCGAGCCGAAAGCCAGAAGGGAGACGCGACAGCGGCAGGCGGTCCTAAGAACGTCAGAGCTGGCAGTGACCGTGGCCAGCTACAGCGGGCCGGCTTTGTGGTATCCTTGCTGAGCTATGGCTTCTGGCCAGATCTGCTCTGGAGATTTGAAAGTCCAGGGCCGTTCCTTGTCCTGGAGGCCTTCGTTCTGCCAATCGCGGGCAGCTACTCGAGGGATATGGGTAAGCACGCCCGAGCCTGGAGCTTAAATCCTATATCTCTTCACCGCTTTACAGTTCCAAAGTTTTGAAGGGGAGACTCGGAAGGATCCAAAAGCGATGCATGCTTCTCTGGCGACCTTGAGGTTGGATCGCCTATTCCCGGCTTCTATCTATGTGGTAGGTGCGAGAGGGTCTGCATGGCAGATGAAGCTGCGAACTTTCAACACTCGCTCAAGGAGGAGCTGGCAGCGTGTCGAACCGGCCCTTGCGCACGCTAGAACGCTTCAGCAGCTGCCTGAGATCATTCTGAGAACGGTCAGTACAGGAGAAAAGGCTGCGTTTCGTGGGTCGTCGAGGTCCGGCTACGAAACTGTGCGAGACCCGAGCCCCCATGTTGCAGCCGCGCTGTGCCTCGAGCTGAGAGGGAGAGACAAGCGCTTCGCAGTTGTCGTAGCGGAAGCTGCAGCCTGTTGGGCTTAAACGCTTGGCTTCATTAAGATGTGAACACGGACAAAGCAGCCCGTACTGAGCCGCACTACCTTCCCAGCAGGATAAAACTTCTGTGACAAAGGGACACCGGCCAAAGCACGTGCCATGGGGAACATCTTTGGCACTGCCGATCAAGTTGTCACAGATCCGACTAGGCCTTGCTGAGCAAGTCGAGCCAAAGTTCTGCTGCGCGCGAGAACATGTGAGCACCGACCCCCGCAGGCAGAAATACTCCCTGGAGGAGTCGTTGAATGCAGCAGCTGATGCGATAGCAGCTGCAGGACAGCTGCGGGCGATTGCAGTGTGTGGGGTGATGTTACCCCCCTTGCAGCATGTCAGCATGTCGTCGCATGCAAGCAGGCTCGATGACCGCCTTCACGGGCGCAGGGATCTCGGTGGAATCGGGCATTCCAGACTTCAGATCTCCAGGCCTAGCCGGCTCTAGACAGTTCCAGCACATGACACAATCCCCTTGATGCGCGCCGTGCGTCGAAGGTTGTCTTGTATTCTACTTGTTTTTATCGACTGCTCTATCGAGTTTGTTTAAATCTACGGCTATTCAGAATTCATCATGATCTCACTCCATGGCTCCTCAGTCTCAGTCATGGATCTTTCGGTTCGAGGAGGCGCCATTGCTGATTGCAGATCGAATGCCAGGGTTGAAGAGAGTGCATGAACTTCTGCACCTGGATCTTCGCTTGGAGCGTGGCTGCGGCCACAGGCGAGAAGCCCGCTCCGGTAGACAAGCTTGACGTTCCGGCTTTCCTGGGACGTTGGTATCAGACGTATGGCAGCTTTTCCGTGAAGTATGCCACGGAGCTGGGAGCCGATTGCGTTTACGTGGACTACGGAGCACTCTCTAACAGTAGTGCCATTTCTTTGGTGAACTCAGTGCAGGTCTTTGGACATAGAGTGAGCGTAGAGGGGTTTGCTGTGCCAAGCCCTGACCGCGTTGGAATCTTCGACGTGTCTCTTGGTCCACCAGGGCTTGCACCCAAGGCACCCGAGCCGTTTCGCAAGTCAAACTACATAGTGCTGATGCTGGGACCACGAGTGGGCGGAAAGTATGACTATGCCGTGGTTACCGATCCGACCTTTCTGTCTCTCTACGTTCTCGTGCGGGACGTGTCTCGCTTTGGACGACTGCATGAAGCAGGCGTCTTGGACAAAGTCTCACAAATGGGGTTCACCTCGTTTCTGAACCGGCCGCGACGGACGAACCAACATGGCTGCAAGTACAGCGATAAAGACGGCACAGCCGTCGTCGTGTGACGGTTTCTGGGAAGTCCTCAGCTCTGCCTGCTCTCTGAGAAAACATGTGCGGTTGGGAAAGCGGTGAAGCCGGCTGCTGCATTTTCCATTCCAAGGGTTGCTCCTTGAGCCTTGGATGAAACTGGCAGGTGGACTTTGGTCTAAATACAATCCAGGGATCTACTGCGAGTACAACACTTTCTGCGGCCCACTCGGCATGGACTGTGAGCGTACTTGCTCAGTAGATGCTTCTTATCTAGCTGCCTGAGACCTTGAGGTGAAAGTCCACATCTGTTCTGGCAAATGGGCAGAGAACTTGCGCTTGAAGTACACCTTGCCAGTGGTGGTGCTCCCCACTTGCGGGAGCCTTCACTTGAGACCGGCATTCCATGCATCTTACCCTGAGCTCCAATTACTTGAAAAGTAGCTTACTAACCATATAGTTATAGTATATAATCCAGCAACTTAAGGTAACTGGAGCGGTAATTAGGGTACTTCCACCATACCATCTGGTATGATATGTTTTACTACTATACCATATTATAACCATAGTGTAGTATACTACATTATATATATATATATGTATATATATATATCTATCTATCTATCTATCTATCTATCTATCTATCTATATATATATATATATGTATGTACTTGTGCGTTCATATTTTATATATATATACATACATGTTGTATTTATATATATAT